CTTCCGGCTCTTGCTTCTTTCAGATTCTGAGTTATGCTCCTAGGTGGTCTGAGAGTATGGGTGGAAACCCCTTCCGTGGCTGTTTGCTTGCCGGTATAGCAGTGGCTCAAAGTGTAAGTCTGTGTGTGATGGAGCCTGGCTGTGTGGTGTGGTCTTGAAGTGGGTCCATTCCCACCCAGACTGAGGCAGGAGAGTTGTGATTCCTGGGGTGTGGGTGTGTGCCCCGTTCTCTGTCTAGGCATTGCTATGAGACATTGTCAGGAAGAAAAGGGACCAGATGATTGAGTAGGACATCAGGGAGCAGGGCTGCTGGGGTTTGAGGTTTCCCAGGCCTTGGGGATTTCATAGGTAATTCTGCTTGGGCCTGGTTGAGGATGTTCCATTTCTTTTCCTTAGCCTCCTGGTTTACCTAGATGAAGTCAGGCAGACTTCCTTTTTTCCCCTTCTGACATAGAATGTATTCTATATGAATTTCAATATTGGCTGATGGTAGGGCATTTGGGGGAGACACAGCCATTTCTACGTGTCTTGGTAGAGCAGGAATAGAGTATCTGGGCTGTGTCTAGTGCTGGCCACCCCAGATCCCTGGCTCTGGGCGCGATCCCCACTGAAGTGACCTCCATATGCCTGCAATTTGCTTTCCAGTCGGTACACTGAGAAATAAGTGGCTTTGTCTACTTTCCTACTTTAGAAAGAATAACAAAGCCGAACGCTTAGTGCCAATATCTAAGCCTGGCCCAAGAAGCCCTGGAGGCTACCCATGAGGGTTCATATGGGCCTTGCCTGGCCTCCCACGCCCCCCAACCCCCATGCACAGGCTTAGGGGAACATGCAGGGGACCTCCCTTCCTTTCTTTCTTGTGCTGTGTGAACTGTCTGCCCTTCTGTGATCCCCGAACTCCATTGCAGCTGGGATTTGCCAGATAAGAAGAGAGTGCCTTAGAGAATAAAAGTCAGTTTTAACTTGGGTGAAGCGTTACGGCATCTGGATGTGTCTGACTCTGCCCTAAGCACTTTTAACTCCTTGCCCACTCAGGGAGGGCTGCCTTGAACAATCCAGGAAGGTCCCATGTATTGTTTGGCCGATGCTTCTGCATAGGGACTTATGGGCCATCAGATTTGCCCTCAAATCTGAGAGAGACTCAGAGTGACCCCCCCCCATCACCACTAACTTTTCTGTTTGGGAATGGGTTTGTCATTCTTTGGCTACCTATCCTGGAAGGCATTGAGGTCAGGCGGAGTGTGCAGACCACTGTCAGCTCAGGACAGACGTGAGACCTGGTCATGAAGCCATGCCCACTGTGGGCCCCACTCTGCTCCAGCAGGGTCCTATTTTGATTTCTTCCATTTAGCTGTGTCCTGAAATAAAACAACACACAACCTTCACTATTTCTTTCATTTTTTCCAACTCAGAGGCACAGGTGTCTGGGCCTATTGTGGAGCTGTGTGTGCAGAGGGACTCACTGTGTTCAAAGCTCCCTCCCTTCACCCCTCTTCCCCCAGACCATGCTTTTCCATCTCAGCCAAGCAAGCTTTTCCAACATCTGCCTTTGGGGCTGAAACAGCTGTTGGCATCTGCCGGTTCTTTTCCTTATCAGAGGCCTCCTAGGCCCTGCAGGATGTGAGCTTCAGGCCTGCTCACTGTTCTTAGAAGCCCAGCACAAGGTCTGGGAGTCTGCTGTGAACTGGGCTCTGACCTTGGCTCTCCTGGGGTTAGAGGACCTTCTCCATAGAATGGAGACTCAGGAGCTCACTCAGAGAAAGACATTGCCTTTAATCCTGGGTACTCTGTGCTAGTACTGCCTTAGGATCTGTGCTTCTGTGTCCAGTCTGCTCAGATGGGGGGTAGGCCTGAGCCAGACCAACAGCTTCCTGACCTTGCCTGTCTTATCGCCGCCCACCCCTGCCTGGGAAAGCCTCACTGCTTCTCTAGCCCCTGGGCAGGCAGGGCGTCAGCATCTCGGCAGAGAGCAGGACTGGGTCAGCGTGAAGAATGGGTCCTGAAAGCGATTGGGACTCTTTTCTGTGATGCAGTTTAATCCCGTGTCTATATTCACAAACTGACAGTCGATATTATACCAAAATACAGATTTACATAATAGATTCCGGGCGCTCCTTGCAGCCAGGTCTCCGAGGGAAAGGGGCACGAATTGAAAAGGCTCAGACATTTATATCTGCCCAACGGGCGGCCACAGTCTCCTCAGAGAGGCCCAGCCACATCAGTCCATAAAACATTTAAACAAAGACTGAAAATTATGCTCACTGGAGGAGCCCGAGTGGTGACCACAGAGAGACCATGCAGTCCCAGGGCAAAGAGGAAGACGGAAGTCCTGCCTAGGAAGGCCTGGACATTAATCTCTGGCACCCCCATTGCCTCCTCCCTCCCCGGAGTCTCCATCGAAAGCCCACATGGAGGAAAAGCCACATGAGGAGGGCTGCACTGGGCTTAGAATTGACATCTCTGGGTATATGCTGGCTTGGTGGCATTCCAAGCCACCTTAGGAAGGGACTGCCGTTCAGCCCTCTAGCACACTGGCCACTCTGCCAGGTCAGCCTCAGGGTCAGCACATGGGCCTCCAGGATTGTCAGCTTGTAGTCAGCACACTTCCTACAGGTCCTGGGTCCCTTGTGGACACCAGAGAATACCTGCTGATTCAAATAGAATAACATGGCTTCAGGTGGCAGCAGCCAGCAGAGATATGGCCTGGCTTGTGGGAGGGGGAAATGCCACTGTCCTCTTTGCTACCTGCATATCTGAGTCAATGGCTCCCTGGGACATTTCTGGCTTTTCTTCCAGGTCTCTCCCAGGCTCTTATTCCTGGAAGGGCTGACACATTCCTGAAGTACTAGTGTGTTCTGCTGGCCAGAGTCAGCAGTGCCGGGGAGAAAGGTAGCTCCTAAGGTGGATTCTTCTTTGTCTGGCAGACATGATGAGGCTGTCTTCATACAGCATGCAGTCACATCAGGTGTGTACACGTGTGCTGTGCATCTGTGCACACATGTGCACCAGTGTGCTGGGAGAAGATCTGTTGTCTGAATGAGATTCACGCCTGCTTTTCAGAGGTGCCACATGCTTTCCTGCCCACTTAGTTTTGGGGGAACCCTGTGTCCTTAGGTCTGCAAGGTATGGAAACAGCTGTCAGCAGCTGGGCCAGGCCTGCCCCAGAACCGCTTGGCCGCTGATTGTCGAGGGCAAAGAACACAGGCCACGGCGATCTGTGAGTGAGCACTCTTCCTCTTGTCTGTGGCCCTAAGGTGAAACAAAGAGGAGATGGGGCTGTTTAGACAATCCAGGGCCCTGGTGTTCGCGTTGAGAAAAATTACAGAATTACTCTGCCAGTGTCAGGTTTCGAGATAATGACGTGTCTCTGTGTGAAAATATTAAATTGCAATAACATGCCGTGTGAGTACCCCTTTGAATAGGGTATTCGGTTCCCAGCTCAGACTGAACGTAAGCTAGTGACTGACAGAGTACAAATGGTGTCATAAGGCATGGGGTGGGGTAGGGGGATTTACAGCTGGCCCTGGTTTTCTTGATCGGTCTTTCTATCTTGGCCTGTCTTGACACCTTTCTTCTAATGAAACAACTTGATGCTGCTGCTAATTATTTATTCATCATGTTAGGGAGAGGAAACACTATCAGAGACAGATCGATTTTTTTTCCCCTCCTGGAAGTGATTTGACATGACTTAAAACATAACGGCTGCTTCGCTGTGCTGGGTGGCGTCCTCAGACTGCCCAAAGTTCATTATCTCATCAATGCTGTCCCCCGTCCATTTTGTGAAAATCCTGAGGGCCTATTCCCAAGTCTGCTGCTGCCTACACACAGGCGAGTGTCAGCACAGAAAGCTGCTGTCTAGAGAGGCTGTCTTATTTTGAATTTTGGTGCAGAGGTACACGCTGGATGGCTTCTTCCAGGCAGGTGGCTACAAGAAGTCAGCGTGGCAGGTGGAAGATTTTTAATGTCCCCGAGGAACCTGTAGGAGCCAGGCATCTTCAGTGAAAGCCTGCATTGATCCCTAATGCTTGAGACTTTTCAAGGGGCATGTGTACTAGAGTGCACTGTGGAGGGGCAGTTTGGTGGCTGCACATTTGGCTGAGTGCCCTTAAGACGAAAGTTCTATAAACTGTGGAAAGTAAGTGCTCCGAAGCCTAGGCAGATAGCCCCAGGAGACACTCTCCAGTTTCAGGAC